AATAATACAGACGGAGCACAGGTTTTTTGGTGTAGGTGCGAAATGGAGTGAGTTGGTTTTCGGTAGAGCGAAAATTGAAAACTTCCAGTGGTTCTTTCGGTTGTCACGTTTTTAGAGTCGCATCTGCGGACGGTAAGGTTTGCTGTTGCTCAACTGCTATGGTGAATTTTTGCGATCATTGCTGTCCATGCTTTCATTCGTATACGCCGTCAAATCGTTCACCGGTGTATGTGGTGTGTCTGCGAACCACGCGTAGACAACGGATGAAGGTATCTTAGAGCTTTCTTTACCACGTGGTCCAGGTATGGGTCCGCTGGCCTCACACTGACCAAAAGGCCCATTGCAGCTCCATACGTTGGATGGTATGCTACCTCCACTAATTTGAAATTGTCATCTGTCGAAAACGACATCGCTACACCAACACTGTGGTTTTTTCAGCGCGATTTTTGATGATTTCCATTCTGCTGCTGTGTCTTGAAATGATGCATACAACGATCCTACTCTGAGTTGCCCCCCTCCCCCACCCCATCACTTTCTTGATGAAGTCGTTCCTGTTTTTTATGCTGTACTTCGTCTTACTGGATGATTGTTTCAGTAAGAAGGCTAATTTTTTGGCTAAGTAACGCGTAATCGCCCCTCTAGGAGAAATTATGACCAATCGTAAGACGCAAGCCAGGTTTATGTAGCTTCACCAGTTCAGTCTGGTTCAGCCGCTTTTTAGTCATTAGTCTACTGCGACAAACTTGATTAAGCGATTGAATGATTCTCAGCTGTCATTAATCGTTATCTTGATAGTACTTCGTTATTGTGCTAAGTCGTAGACTTCAGTTTTTTGTTCTTTCGGTTTTGATGATATTTCCGATCGAAACGCGTCGACTGTTGGTAAAACCTTTCTATTTCTGACGTAGGTTTCGGTTTCGTAACCACGCGTCACGAAAGCGGCGCGTTCATGAATTATATACCAGGAATAAAAAATTATTTAAAAAATTTTACCAAACGATTTTCTTCTTCGGACATTCTTGCGAAGCGCGTAATTCGTTCAGACCCGGACATATTTGTGGATCGTGCCGTAACCATTTTAGCTGACCACGCTATTTTAGCTGACCAGATATTTGAGCATC